AAAAAAAAAAAAAAAAAAAAAAAAAAAACACATCTTAGTAAAACCAATACCTTCTCAGCTTCGCTTCGAAGCTAAAATAAGGGTTGCGCGTAAATACTTTTGGACAGATTTGTCTATTACGTTACCCTGGATTACATCTCTATCAACCAAGTGGAAAACCTTTGTCGCTAATCGTGTAGAGCAAATACAAACTCTAACAGATATTTTGGAATGGCATCATGTAAGTACGGGTGATAATCCTGCTGATATATCTTACTGAATCGGTAAGACTAGAGTCTCTCACAATTAGGATACCAAGTTCGAATCTGCTACTGGCAATTTTAATATTTTGCATATTTTTTTAAGTTAGAAAAAATTTTCAATTCATTTGATTTTTATTTCAGTTAGATTCATTAACTTCAATAAATATCAAGGATCCCATCACTGTAGTCTCCCCTCACGAGAAGAAATTTCTTATTCATGTTAATATTATTTTACTATGTGGCTGCGATTTATTTTTCCAACCCTCACTTAATCTACTATTTTCAACGATATGTCAAATGATTACAATGCGTATTTAGTTGAAGATATTACCCTCAAAAATTGAAAACAAATCCCTTAATTAAATAAAAAGTAGCTACACCAGCTTTATACAATTAAGCTGTACAACTAGCTTTAGCAATTAAAATCATTCATTTCTAATATTTTTAAAGTATTTATTGTCAAATTAGATTTAATATGATAAAAGTATTCAACTACAAAAGTAAATAATTTTTTTTTATAATTTGTTAATTTTTTAACTCTATTTTGTGTATGCTACTAACAGTTTATTACATTCTAAATTTTTTATAACATGTTGCTAAATAAATCATAAATCTAAAAAAAAATGATTGTTAGTTTCACCTGAATATAACAATGGATTTTTAAAATTATAATCAAATGTTTAGTAATTTTTTTTATTGGTTTTTTTAGTTAAAGTAAATTATTTAAATTAACTCATTTATGTATATTTCAATTGTAGAATCTTTTTAAACATCAAAAGTTAACTACAAATGATTAATATAACTTCTGTTTAAGTGATCTATTACGATAAAATTGCAAAAAAATGCGAGCTTTTCTGATAAATTTACCGAAAACAGTTATTATTAAATTTTCTGACTCCATATTAATCTTAACAATACCATTTTTTATTATATAATGATATCAATTTCGAACTTGCAAGTTGAGCTAAAATTATGGCAATAGATTCATCTTTTTTTTATAAACTTTCACAAAAAATGTAGGTTAAAAATGATTACTTTTAATATATTAAAAAAAAAAATTTAATAATAACTTATTCAATTTAACTATTGAAAATATTACGGAAATACTGCGTTTTTTAAATATATGATAAATTAAAGATTATGTTACGTACTATTACGTAAAATTCTCGATTTTATATTTTATTTATTTTTAAATTTATATTGCTTGAAGTTAATGAAAATTATTTGGAACAAAAGTGCTAATATTTTTACAATAATTATCCAAAATTTAATAATTCCTAATCGATTATCAATCTTTTATTTCATATTAATATATTTATTATTTCATATCACTATGTATAGATAGCATTTTTATTAAAACTATTTAATAGATAGTTTTATATCATTGAGTATAGTATACTCAATTAAATATTAGTACAGACTATATGAAAATTTATAATGAAAATTATATTATATTATATAACTATATTATAGTCTGTAGTGTTAGTAATCGTGTAAAATAAAAGTTTACTATCACTAACCAACCTAAAAGAGAAGTGTTTATTTGTGTTAATTTATTTAAATTTTTTATGAATTTCCAAATTTTTTTGGATGCCAAGGAAAAATTTTGTTTTCAAGTAGTTTTATCAAAATTTTCGGAAATTTTTGGTAACTTTGATCTCTAGTATAACTCGTAATAACATATATTATTACGGCCTATGTTTTGGTTGGCCTCTAGAATAAAAGGTGCTTATCGTCTATTGTATTTTTTATCCAAAATTTGTACACCCTGCAACACCAAATTGCTCGGTGCGCTTTAAAGTGAAATAATTATATCACTTCTAATTATTAATGAATATTTTATTATTAATAATAAATTATAACAAAATACGAGCGTGCGAATAAAGTTTATTTATTTAATAATATTATTTCTGCTGATCCTTCAACATATATAATAACAAATAAACTAATTGATTGCTAAATGATCCAACAAAATAATTGCGTTTGTCCAACTATATGGAGAGTGATGTTTTTTTTATTATTGAATTATGTGTAATTATTTATTTTTTGTCAGTTAAGAAATAATTCAAATATCATTTTAGGTTTCTTAATCATTGAGCACTCTTAATGATAAATTTAAATACTATATGGCTAAAGACTATAATTGAAATAAATTGAGTGATTAAGTGTATATTTAATAGATTATACAAATGTAATGAATAGATATCTAATAATAATTTACTTCAATCTTATTCTAAGAAATTTGATATTTATTTTTGTATTTGCACACAATTCGAGTGGAATAATTTTATTTTATACTTACATAGAACTGGAGGGTTTTGAATATAAACTGGTATAAAGCTCATAACCCATGCAATTATAAAGACCAAAAGCACTACTATTATTGATACTATTGTTAATTTTGATTGATGATTGGATGATATACAAAATGATGACAACCAAATGCAGCTGATACCTACAAAAAAATTTGTTCAGTGGCATTTTTAAAATTCTTTGTGTATCAAACTTAAATGTGTGAAAGTGGTAATATTATAGACGCATTTTATTTGATTTTATTTATTTAATTTAAATGAGAAAAATCAAATTAGTTTTTTGATAATAAATTAAAACTCTTACAAATCAAAGGTATATAAAATATTTTCTCTATAAAGGTTGGTTGTCTTGATATTTCAATTTCTAGTTTGAGTGATATATCATTAAAGTGAACTGAAGTATTTTCATCCGCAATATAAATAACGATTTCACTCCAGGGAGTGGTTTCTTCAATATATGAGCTTAATATACGATTTAGTTTCCATTCTGAGTGTATTGGTTCATGATAAATCTGTTAAAATAAAATAATAAGTATTTAATAGTATATCAATTGAAAAAAAATTACAACTGACCGATGTATTGTGTTGCACTTCGTAATACACATTTGTAAATTTGTGCGACCAAGTACTTAAAATTATACTACATCTTTGAATATCCCAAGGCCAAAAATGTAGATCAGTATTACATTTTGTTTTAACATCAAAAGTTGGTCTCCAAATAATATTTCCAATGTTATTTACTGCAATTTTTGTTTCAGAAAATATAGTCATCGATGGGTCTATTGAACTGTAATTAAAAATTACTATTTGATTTTTACACTAAATTTAACTGATATGTTCAAAATTGTACTAATTTACTTATGTAGTACTAATTCAGGCTGCCATAGTTCATAGTGAGACAAATGTAGCTGAGATATATTGTGATATGCGTTAGGATTCCAGCGAATATTTTTATCTATCCATTCCTAATTAAGGTATTTTATTATTAATACATTGTGATTCATTAATTATACTAATTAATTTTAATTGATCTGAATTAATTATACTACCTCCCATTTTTTATAATTAATATTTTTTTATAACTATGTGTGGATTAAATCCATTTTATTTTTATGAACTATTGTAAATATCAATTTGATTGTAAGAAAAATTTATTTTTAGGGGTACAATTAAGAGGACATTTTTAAAAGTTAAACGGTAATCTATTATTTTTTTCTAAATATTAAATGGGGAATGAATTGAACTAAATTTCGACTAGTCGATAACTAATTTTCTAACTAGTATTGTATTTTTATTTTTTGAGTTAATATTATTTTAAATAAAAATTTATTTAAAAATCAGCTTTTTTCATATTAAATTTATATGACTTTTTAATTTAGTGGTCGATTACTCCTAGAAATCAAGTTCGGACAGTCTACCTTTATCATTTTAAAAAGTACATTAAATTAGCTATAATTTTATGAAGGTTTTAAAGAAGATTATTTTTCGGAAGATTAACAAAAATTGATATAATTTTTAAGATCCCTCAGTATTTTAGTTAATGATTGGGTTTCAAAAAAGTATGTCGTCGGTAAGGTTAATGTCTAAAGTATTACCTATAAATATTTAGCAATAAACCATCAATTTTTAAAAAATTTACTTCAATATAAATTAAAAATTAAAAATATTATTAACATTGATTGTTTTATGACAGTTGTATATTTTTTGAGACATTTGCCTTTATTACGGTGATTGGAGAAAATGTACAAAATTCTTATACTAATAGCTGTAACTAGATACGTTTTATGATCTTTGAAAGTATTGTTGAGAAAAATGGGTCCAATAGGAGAGAAAGGAATAATCGTGTCAAGCAATTAAAAAAAAATTTTTTGTACATGGCAACAGATTAGAAACAATTAGTTATAATTGAGTATAATATTACATTATATTAATTGATTTGAAGCTCATTCTTACTTACAAATGTTGCAAACCCTGTCAGAGCTAGGGTTGATGTTAAAACATCCTATAAAATAAAAGTATACTATTTAATATGTATAAAGTAATATTCAATATTATAAGTTATTTTATGTAATATATTTAAATATATTCATACACAAAATAATATACAAGGTGATCGGTTTATCATAAGCCACTCAATTACTAGCAAAATAAATACAATATTTAAATAAAAATTTTTGATTTCATTTAGTTACACAACATTTTTTATTTATCAGCTAATAATTACTTTTTAGGATCATACCTTATAACGTTAAGGTTGTCAACTTAATTTTTTTAAATGGTAACCTACATATTTTATTAACTTATAAAATTGAAAATTATCTAACTAAGAAAATGACTTGTCGATAACAACTTTTGAACTAGTAATTTGGATGTTATTCTCATTTTTATACTTAGGTTGAACAAATAGTACGGCCGGAAAATGACTAGTGATAAAAATAGCAGCACCTATTCTCATCTCCAGTCGTAACATTAAATTTTTAATAACTTCTGAGTTTCTCGTCCAAAATTTGTTATCGACCAGTCTTTTTCTTAAGTAGATTATTTCCTATTTTATAAGTTAATCAAATATGTATGTTGCCATTTGAAAAAATAAAGTCGACATTCCTTTAAGTTATAAGGGACGATTCTAAAAAGTAATTATTTGTTGATAAATCAAAAATTATATGTAACTAAATGAAATCTAAAATTATTTTTTAAATATTACATTTATTTTGCGAGTAATTGAGTAACTTATGATAAACTGATCACTAGGGTATTTTATTTTCGTTTAAATGTTTATACGCTATTTTTTTATATTATTTCATATTTTATTTACCAAGTGTATTGATTTAAAATCAAAATTAACATTGACATTCAAAACTTTTTCAACTAAAGATGGACTATTTCTAAAAGGATTACGCTTTTTTAAAACGTCTCTTCTTAGGCGTTCAATTGGACTTAAAAATTCGTTGATATAATCGATTTTGTCTATTTAAAAATAAACAAATATTTTCAAATACTATAACAAAAAATAAAAGAAAACTAAAAATACGATTTCATTGGCAAGTGTTTAAAACTACCAGCGTTTTTATTAATATAACAATTGAAAAACCATTGAAGAACGACAGATTCCCATGAACCAAAACTAAAGTATCTGATTGGTATTGGCGATGAATCAATCCAAAACATAAAAGGTAAAGACTCTCCTGTTTTACCAACATTGATCAATCCATTTCGAAAAATTTGAATCCAAAAGCCTGTTGGTTTGTCTTTGTTAAGAATTTTTGCAGTAGACATGTATTTCATTGATGTAAATCGATCACTATTTTATAATAGCAAATTATAATGTAAGTTTAAATATTTAAAATAATTAATGGACAAAAATTGAATACTGAGAAAAATGTATAACTAAATTCTATTGTATACCGATTATATTTTCGAATATCTGAAATGCTATTCATTCCTCCTCCAATAACTATTTCGTACCCTAGGGAAATTGAGTCTTTGGCTAGCATAATATGTGCATCGTTTGTTCCTTGAACGTAAAATTTTAATAAAATTGACTCTCCATTTAGGGCTATTGAATTATTATTTACTTTGTAGTAATGATGGTATCCATAACCCATGGTATAGGTGCTAGCACATTTTTGTCCTAAAGTGAATTTTGTATTGTTTAGTAACTATTAAATTGATATGCCACTAAAGTTTTTAAATCATAAACTTACCATCAAAGTCCATAATAATTTCACAACTTGCCATTGTTAACAAAGCAACAAAAAAATACACTAATGTACTTTCATTCATTTTAAAATGTAATTATAATTCTTTTTAAATTTAGAAAAGTATAAATATTAGTATCATCTAATAAGTTTGTCGGATTTAAACTAATCAGAATGTGAGAGTTATGTTCAATACAGAGGAAATGACATCCTGAATTTTTGAGATAATGATACACAATTTATCATATAAAACTACATAACCGATTTATTTTTGGGTAATAAATTTATTTAGTGGAAATATATGAAACGGTTATATAAACGACACATATCATAAAATTAAAATTTTAATTACTTGAAAGTTAAAACTACACCGGTAAATATTTTTGTTGTTTTTAGGATGGTTCTTATTAATTGTAGTCGATATTAAAAAAAATATATTAGTCTGTAATACTTAATTTCTATGCAGTAGGCATTATAACCTAAATTATTATAAAATTAAAATTTTTTGAAAAAATCATGATTGGTCTACTTTGAAAATTTTTTATTCAATTATACTTAATAAATGCAATATTTATGTATTATATTCATGTACACTTAAAAAATTATTGGTTTTACTTGACATATTTCTTCTTGTATTCTTGTAAACTATACATAAAATCCTCAACTCTTATTTCTGGACTAATATTGTTCAACAATATACTAAAATATTACAAATAGGACCAATTAAAGTTATCAGCGTCATAATATAAAAAAATTACTTTCGTTAATAATTATGAGGGAAAAAATATTCCGAATATTAGTTATAAAATTGGAAAAATTCAATAATTTTCTAATATTTCAATAGCATAATGCTATAATCCACAGTACGGAATTTAAACAATTTATTTGATCCATTTTCGAGACACCAAATTTTTTGAAAATTTATCAAGAGTATGTATAAAATGTGATTCTTTTATTATAAATTACTTGAATAACCGAAAAATAAAAGTAATATTGATAATTATTTAAGTGTTTTTCTTAATCAGTCATAAAGTATATTTCTTTTTGTTTATACTTAATATTGGAGTTAATTTAATTTTTTTAAATGACAAAATATATAATTAATTAGATTATTTATTAAATAATGATATAGTTAAAAAATGACTGAACCCTAACATCTTTTGGACCAGTATTCCAGAAATTTTAACATTTTTACATGTTGGCAGGACGAGAAGTGTGGTTGAAAAATGTTTAGTGATATGCTAATAATTAATAGTTATAGTAGTTATGTTTGTTATCATTTGAATAAATAATTATTTGTTATAAGTTTAAAAGATCTCCATGTCTCCCCATAGCAAAATTCTTAATTAATATACACACACACATATACAGAGTGGAACGGATCTAACTGACAACTCATATAACTTATGATCTACATAAAGTTTTATACTTTTTTTTTTTTAATCAATTTTTACAATATAGAACTATAATTAAAATATTTTTTATGTTATTTTTCGCAATTACAAAAAATATCTTAAAAATTAATTTTTTTTAAGATTTTAAGATTATACAGCATTTTGATGATTGTTAAATTTTGATTTCTTTTACAATTTTCCTATGGTATCAAATGTTAGTTCATATTATGTTAAGTACAGAAGTAAACACTTATTACATTATTTACTTTTAACAGTACACGATTTCTTTTCCATGAAAATTATTAACATTTGAATAAGCATTTGTAATTGCCATGAAAAAACAAGTAGTAGTATTATTAACATTCGTAAGAAATCGTGTACTGTTAAAAGTAAATAATTACTTCTGTACTTAACATAATATGAACTAACATTTGATACCATAGGAAAATTGTAAAAGAAATCAAAATTTAACAATCGTCAACAATGCTGTATAATCTTAAAATCTTCAAAAAATTAATTTTTAAAATATTTTTTGTAATTTCAAAAAATAACATAAAACATATTTTAATTATAGTTCTATACTGTAAAAATTGATTAAAAAAAAAAAAGTATAAAATGTTATGTAGATCATAAGTTATATGAGTTGTCAGTTAGATCCGTTCCACTCTGTATATATATTATAAACTTTTTTTTTAATTGGCAACATACATATTTAACTAACTAGAACCAGTATTTCAGAAATTGATAACAATTTATATTAATGACTGTAGGTGAAGAGTAGGTACTGCTATTTTTATCACTAGTCATTTTCCGACCGTACTATTTGTTCAATCTAAGTATAAAAATAAGAATAACTTCCATAGTACTGACCAAAAGTTGTTATTGACCAGTCATTTTCTTAATTAGATTATTTTTTTTTTTTTTTTTTTTTTTTTTATTATGAAAAGGCTTCGACAAATTATGGACATTAACCTACAGTTTTTTTTTTTTTTCATGATTATTATTTGTACATTAATTAAAGTTATAAGTTGACAATCAATTGATTTAAACTATATACACATATTTATAATTAAATTTTATACAATAATGTTTATTAGATTATTATCTACTTTATATTTTAATCAAATGTTGCCAATTTAAAAAAAAAAGTTGACACCCCATTAAATTATAAGGGACGATTCTAAAAAGTAATTAATAGTTGATAAATTAAGACACCTACATGTCACTAAATTAAATAAAAAATTATTTTTCAAATATATTTATTTTGCGAACAATCGAGTAGTTTATGATAAACCGGTCACATAATCTATACAAATGTTTATAATAAGTAATCGTTCATATTCAGTATCCTAGATAGCGGTAGATATTATTATTTAAAAAGTATTGAATTCAAAATGCATAACATATTTATTTTTTTAATATGTATAGTTATTAGTAAGCATAATATATAGCTATTATACAGTTTTAAGACCTAATAGAATAACAAACTCCATATTTTAAAAAATCAATTTATTGTAACTAGCATATAAATTAAGAATTCTTGAGTGGCATATATAAAATCTTAGTTATGTCAATATTAGAGTAATATGTGAAAATTTATTTATTTATTCCTGACTTAAAATGTTTTTCAATCAATTATTATTTTATTCAATATTTCAATTATTATACAATTCGTTATTGTATTACTTTTTTCATTAACTTATTTTATTTGTGTTAATTACATTAATTTTATAAAACAAACATTTTTTTTTAAGCAATCGTTAGTATAAATTTATAAAATTTAGGTCAACTATACCTCTAATGTATACCATTCTATATTTTATTTAATATTTTATAAGTCTTAGTTTAAATTTTTAAAAATATTTAGTATTAATTTCTATCAGGGTGTAGATTATTGAGGAAAAACTATTAAATAAACCCCTTCCAATTTTAAATATATTTTGATATAAATAATTTAAAAAATATTTTACTAGGAATATAACATACTTGTAAAGGATATTCTATATTTGTGTTTCGAATTTAGAATTGAATTTGTTATGAAGTTTATGACTTATCTCTCAATACCTGTAATAATGAAATACTATCTAATTTGTATATATTTTTGAGTAGTGTAATGATAGAAGTATTCGTATAAAGTAAATATTTGAGAAAAGCAACCAATGTTATTTATTGCTCCCTTGGTGCATTAACAAATAGTAAAACTTAACAACGGACCCCTCAAGTTTAATTATTCACAATTGACACTGACCACTAGTCCCTCGTTTTCAAAATACTAACTATATGTGAGATAGTTATTACTTTTCGGTCATAAATCAGCAGGTGTCGACCAAGTTTGGTTAACCATAAGGGATTTCAACACTCGGGAGGAAATTTCTAATTCATATACTAATTACTGGGCCCTAGTTTTATATGCCTCTTGTACACGATCCATTTAAAACGAGGATAATTTCAACACAGATAAGTTTTGTACCTCGCGGATTAAACGAACTCCCTTTAAATAATAATAAGTAAATTCGACGAGTATTTTTAGATAGTTTTGTCACAATTTACACAATACATGCAAGTAGATAAATAATGATCGACAATACGAATGACACCTACAATTTTTACGGTATGTACCAAATTAAATTTATAATTAAACGATAATTCAGTTGACTACTTTATGCAAGCAATGTACAGTTCAAGATTATATTGTACCCTTCTTAACTATAGACTATGATACCTCTCAGAATATGTTGAACGAGAATAATAAATAACATTTCCACGCCGCTATGCTCATTGGAATTGCTAATGTCCAGCAAACTTCACCCTTACAATTGTCCACACAAGAAGGGTTATACAGACAATAAATCATAAGTTACTACTACAATAGAAAATACACACATGTGTGATAGTTTTAAAACTTCAATCCATAGTAATTTCAACGCAGTTAGCAGTTGTAAAACACGGAAAGATATATATCAAATATGTCAGTAATACCGACTTACATTATGAAATAATTGAAAATATTTCCTGTTAGAAAATAATCTGTATATTTGACATCACCATAAATGAAATACTGAAAAACCTTTTTAAGAAAATCGTACATTGAACTTTTAAACTATAATTCGTAGAAAACAGCAAACTACAATTGTAAATTGAAAATCATTGAACTCATAAAAAAATCCGGATCACGTTCGCACATTATTCCATCATTCTTATTTTTACGTATTAAGTATTACGATTAACGGTTGACCGATAGGGGACAAAAGCAGCTTAAGTATCCCTTGGACTTTACTTACAGAAGTATCGTACATATAGCTGTTTTTGAATTAAATTTAAACAGCTTTCAAATACGTTTTTTCCATTTCCTATAGAAGTTTCATTTGTTGGTAAAAGAATAGATTTTTCGATAAACTTTTTATATTATAGGTTTGTAATTGATAAAAAGTAAAACAATGTATAACATTGATTTTTTAATTGATAAAATAATTCAAGTTATTTAAATCGTCTTTAAAAAAAAAAAAAAATAATTTATTTAGGTTTTAATTATTTATATAATCACATAAAAATTGAAAAAACTACTGAAATACTACATGCGATTTAGTTTTTTTATAGTCAATTTAAAAAGTAATTATCACTGTTGTATGCTATAACAAGAAAAATAAATTACCTAAGTTAATTTTTATAGTTACTTAAAAAACCTAATGTAAGTTTATTATGTACATGAAAAAAAATCAGCCTCATTCTATTTTGGAAATGTTTTATAATTATTTATGTTAATTAC